CTGTTATTGTTGCAAAAGGAGGATCTTCTAAATATTAATGTCGCTTTTCTGTTGAGGTGCCCTTATTTTTGCACCTGTCAAATTTTGTGTTTATGTGTACTGCACATTTTCTTTTAGTCCAATAAACCTCATTTCAATATTGAAATGTTACTCTGTCCATAAGTTATTGGTTATATCAAACTGAAATAGTTATTGCAAACATCCAAATACTTTGAGATGAAAATAATTTAGATTAATAGGGGTGCCCAAACTTTTTCATATGACTGTATATGTGTTAACAAGTCTAAAGTGCTCTCTACACAAATTACAAACTGCATTTTTTCTCTTTATTTAGTGTAAACCTAGAGTGCTGGTATTTTTTTCAGATAAAAATGACAAAAATTATAGTGCAGAATTAAACGATGGTGTTTTTATGCATATGAAGCCTAATTAGGAGTGAATAACAACTTCTATCTGTTCTGTAAACATTCTGTCTGCAAATAAGTAAATTCTCATTTCATTGAATGCTTGCCTCGCTGCAGGCTGAATGATTGTAGGTATAGCTGGACATGCTGTTGCAAGTGGAGCATATTTTTTCAGCTGATGGAAGCTCTCCTTTGGGTGCAGTTGAGTGTCAGGCAGCAAACTGAGATCCCAGCAATGCTGGTGTGATAAGTATTTGGAGCTGTCTGTTTGCCGTCAGCTTATAAACAGGAAATTCTGTTTCACTGGTGGAGTCGAGTCGGAGAGGGGCCCTTGGGAGCATCTAGCTGCAAATGTTGTAGCATTTGTTTATATTTGCATGTAATGTAGTTTATCTTTTCTGCTATTCTTTCATGGTTAATTTGCCTGCATGAAAAGCATGATGTTTACATAGTGGAGGTTTGTCACTTCCAGCTTGTCCAGCAGGCTGGAAAATGACTAGAACGTAATAAACAGCCCAAAGAATGTTTAAACATGTGAGAAACCAAACCGCAGCAAACATGCAAAAGACGATGTGTTTAATCTAATACCCTTATCATATGTGAGAAAACTGCAGGGCTATATTTGATATTTCCTGCTACGTAGGTGCATGCGAAAAAATATATTTAAAAATGTGACGATATCACCCCTCCATTGGTAGTTTGAAGTAGCTCTTACTGAGGGCAGAGTTCACTTTTGCACAGTCTTTAATCTTTTGCATCTTTGTTTGGCTTTCAAAAACAAATTCAGTTGAAAAACAACTTCCTCAGTGTTTACAGAGAATAAATAAGAAGTTGAGGACAGTTTGTTCTTTTATTCCGACAGAAAACATTAAAATTGAGTTTAATAGGAATAAGTTCTGATGAGGATTTCTGTGAATTGCTTGGTGGTCCCTTCGTTATTTAATGGTTCCAGATTCTTTCACATTTGTATTCAATGTATTTCAGTCAGAGCAGTTTTGGGGTTTTTCTCCACCTCAAGTAAATGAACAGATTTATTTAAGGAACGCTAAATACAAATATAGGGGAAGTTATGTTTCGTGCCAGTTTATGATATCCCCCAAATACACTGAGGTTTGTGGTTCTCACTTAAGCTGTAAAAGGCCCAGGGCTAGTTTGTAGGGAAGTCTTTACATTTATGTGGCTGAGTGTTAAAAGATACATCATTTAATTATTGATACGTGTGAACCAATTTTACAGAAACAAGATCATTTAGACCTTTAATCAAATATGCATTCCTTCTCCTCCTTTGTGAAGCCTCATTAGGGAAAGTAAACAATTAAAAGTTGCATAAAGTCATGTTTATGCATCACTATTTTGAGAAAACTGAATGTTTTAAGAATGGCATATTTGAGATCTTCTGTGTCTGAACGCCAGAGTGCCGGCTGAAGTCGAGCCTCTGAGCTGCGACAGGATGAAGTAGCCGGCAGTCTGAACTTGGTTGCCGTTGCTCTCTGTCACTTTGATCTTTTTGCTTGACACACGTTTTCTGCAGCTTTCAGGACATCAAAGATTATGTTGACATTGATGGTCTGCATTCGGATGAGCGTGTGTCCCTCTTACACAGCATCCTCTGCTAGCATGACTGGCAGTCTGCTTGTGAAAATCTGCACCTGTTCTTTAGCTCTGGTAAAGAAAAACTCTTATTTATTCTTTCTGTGTAAGTTTGAACTGTGTCTAATTATGTTGTTAGTGCATTATATCGGCCTATTTCCTGTGTTAAATTTATCTACATTTTTCTACTGGCATTGCACCTATTCTCTCACTCTACAGACAAACCCACTGTGTGAATGTTAGATCTCTGAGTAAAAGTGGCAAGTCAAAAGCAAGCTGATGCAGTGCATTCTCACCGATATTAATGTTTATACTCACAACAGGGTTTCATAGCATTAAAAAAAGAACAGGTCAAATTCATCGTGGTGCACGATGTTTGTATGTTTTTTCAGCATAAGAACTTTAGTAATATTTCATGTCACAAGGGTTCTCTTTGTACAAAGATAAGAAGCATGCAATCCTATGTTCCGGCTTGGATCGGATTTGATGAAGCCTCAGTCACATCTGCTTGTAATCCCATCATCCCTTCTGAAATAAAAAAAGACGGGGGTAAAAAAAAAATCCTCCTCCACACAGTACCAGGTGGAATCTTCGTATAAGACGATTGTAGCACACAAGTGAAGCATTCCCCACCCAGCCATGGCTTGTATTATCAGGAATTGGGTCAGTTAGATGAAATGTTGTATGTGTATGTGGTCGAGCCGTTCAGGGGTTTGTCTCTGCTCTGCGTGTGTTCTCATAAGTTGTGTATAAACCGGGCGCACCGTATAGACCTGGCAATCTTTCACGATCCCGCTGACCCGGTCATCCCACCCTGCCGTGTGTCAGGGCACTTTGCCTCTGGGTCCAGGGACGTCGCCGTATCTAGGACCCTCTCTGTGGGACGAATATAAAAATAGCTCATTGAATTTGAACACAAATGGGGGCACAGTAAGCACTATCGGTGCCGTCTCACACAGAGGAGCTGCAGCGAGTCTGAATCACGTTCCAAAAAGAAGTCAGAAGGCTTCGCCGTGGCACAGAAAACTAATTTGGTATTTAGAGACGATCATAATGTCTGCACAGAGGGGTAAAAAGCAATGCTGTCTATGTTACAGTTTAGTTAAAAGCGTGGCGGTATTACAACCGTTTTGTGTTTTTGTTTGCTGATGCAATGAATAAGCCGTTTATTGGCTTGGGCCCGTGCCTTGTTCTCACACAATGCACAAAGAACTCCAGCTGAAAGGCGATGCAATAACAAGGCTTAGAGTTTAGCTGCAGTCTTCATCACTGTCATTGGTTATTTAGCAGTCGCTCAGATCTGAACAAAAAGCTAAAGATCTGAATATGATTCATGGATAAACGGGGCAAAGAGAATTTTGCATTCCTGTACGGTTCATTTGGGTGGATGCAAGCAACAATAGTGTGACAAAACAGAAAGTTGCTGGTTGTTTGCATGCATGGATGCAAATACGATGAATAATGGCTTCCTGATGAGATAACATGAAGTCACATTTTGGTACTTTGTGTTATCTTCACCAACAAGCAAATCCTACCAAAACACCAGAATTTGCCTGTGGTGTGTGGAGGTTTAATGTAAAGAGGAGAACCTCTTGGTTTTTCTATAGCGAAAGTATTCATACCACATAGGCACAGTGTGTGTGTGTGTGTGTGTGTGTGTATATATATATATATATATATATATATATATATATATATATATATATATATATATATATATATATATATATATATATATATATATATATATATATATAATCTTGCCAGTTAAGACGTACATTTGAATAGCCCAGACTTTAACTGGGCTATGAATATGCTTTGATTTAGGCCATTCAACCTCCAACCTGGAGTTCAATCTTTTGTTGATTCTTAGCAGGTTTAGTAAAGTACTATGACCACCATTATGACCTCGTGAACAGGATGGGTCGTGCATACTTCTTTTTTTCGCCCTTTCCTCTTTAAGAAGCACAAAAAAAGCAAGAAGTAAAACATAAAAACAGTTTTATTTGTCCAGAATAGCATGACTTAGCAGGGCAAATTATAAGAATAGCATATATTTTTTAAAATTGCATTCAGGGTTAATAATTTGTTGAGGCTTTTAAAGGGACACGCTCACGGGTCTTTCATGTGAGCGTGACTGGAGAGACGCTGTCAGTCAATAAAAGCTCAGTGATGCAGTAATGGAAAAAATGTGAACAGGATTCAAGGATACACTGCAGAGGATAACTGTCAAAAAGTCCAATTATCAACACATAAAAATCTCTGTTTTACAAAAATCTAAAGTTTTTTAAAAAATGTTTTATGGCGTAAAGAGTGACTAAAAGCACACTACGTTCTTTTCAGTGAGAAATAACATCTTAATTTAGTTTCTTCTTAAGCCATTGCAAATAAAAGCCTCTGGTCTGATGAAATGACTGAGCAATCGGGATCCCAAGCGAGACTCGGTATGAATGTCATGCTTTGAAACGCTCCATGTGGCTGGATGTCGAAACCTTTTCCGGTGTGTACAGGATCTCTGGAGTTTCAACAAGATGATGGCTGGAAGCATATAAAAAAACTCCCAGAGGCCTTTGCTGTGCCTTTCACTAGTGAAATCTATTTTAAAATGAATCTTGTGCACAACAGAAAACATTAATCGTCCTTGCAAATTGCATTACATAAAGCAGCTGAGGAAATAAATTGTTAAACAAGACTTAGAGATGGTTTGGCCTAAATATTCTCAAGCACATAAGTGCTCATTACTTATTCATAGACGGAGCTTCGTGAATCAAACCAACACGTTTGCTTTTATGACAATGAAACCCCCACAACGCATTTCTAAGACAAAACAAAGCAGGTTTATTAAATCAGAATAGCTCTGTTTAATGAACTCTCTGCTTTAAGCATTAAAGTCAGGTCATAAATTATATGAAACAAGCTGCTTTGAATGCATCTGGTCCCACAGGAGAGAGTATTGATTCTGTGATCGTCCTTTGATCCCCACCTCTGTTCTGGTTCCCGTTGCAGGTTGACAGCTCTGGTTTCGACTGGAGGGAAAAACGTCCAGGCGGCTTGCGACTGGTGAGAGCAACACAAACGCCTCTATTCACGTTTTTTTTTTTTAGCACAGGACAGGAAAATAAATGTTTCGGAGATAAACATTTGCAGTCATTACTTCAAAGAAAATGTTTTGAATCTCTGCGGCTTCTCATTACCGCCCTCTGCTGGATAGTAACCGCTCTTCCTGTCCTCCTCTTGTTTCTGGCTATTCTCAGGCTGTTCTCCCATTTGGACGACCCTTTCCTGGATGAGCCTCTGCCCAGAGAGTATGTGTTGTACCTGCGGCCCAGCGGACCTCTGCTCCAGCAGCTCACTCACTTCTGGAAGCAGTCCCGCCTCACCTGCGGGAAGAACAAGGCCCACAACATCTTCCCTCACATCACCCTCTGCCAGTTCTTCATGGTAACTTTATGCTTGCTTTTTATTAACATTAACTTGTAACATCATTTTTTGTTTTCAATCCCCTGTTGTTCAGTTTAGCCTAAGACAGAAGATCCTCTTTTGTGGAGACAGATTGTCTGAGTCTGCATTTGCTTGGAGATTATTTTCTTTTTGAAAAAATAAACCTCTGCATAAATATATATATATATATATATATATATATATATTATATATATATATATATATAGAGAGAGAGAGAGAGAGAGAGAGAGAGAGAAGAGAGAGAGAGAGAGAGAGAGAGAGATGCTCTCCATTTAGTCTCTTGATATGTGAAACTGATAGAAATGGAAAAGTTGTGAAATGTGACTGAAGTAAGACTGAATACAATTCAAATAAGTGCAATCTTTTTAATTCTGCTACATCATTTTCCTTCCAGTTCAGAATAAGCAGACGACTATCACACAAAAGGCTAACAAAATACATCAAACTTTTTTCTCTTAAGATGTGAAAAGTTTAAGGCATCGTAATTACTGTTGCTGTTTTACCTATGTTTTCTTCTGTGATCACCAATTACCTTCTGCACCCATCAGTGTGCTGATGAGAAGGTAGAGGCTCTGACTGACGCCCTGCAGACCACCGTGGCCAAATGGAAAGGTCGCATCCCCATGCCTCTGCCTCTGGAGCTCTACATTTCCTCCAGCTTCATCGGGCTTTTTGTGGAAGAGCAGATGGCCGAGGTTCTGAAGAGCTTCGCTGCTGACTTTGCAACCGAGGCGACATCTAAAGCAGGTTTGTCCCTTCACATGAGGGCAGAGCTTCTGTGAAGCGAGCAGCTACAGAACATTATTGGAGCTCTTAAATCATCAGTCCAGACTGAGTGTGTTGATTTGACTTCATCGAGTCCTTTTAGTACCAAGTTGCAGATCCTGCACTAAAGGTTATCATCAGGTTGTATAATTGTGCATCTGTATGCAGCCATTTTCATGTGCGAGTGTGAAGCTTATTTGGATTTAAAGTGACAGGACAAAACATCTCATTCTAAAAGGATCTCAAAATAAGCAGAACTAACTAAACTAAAATGTCATTACTGAAGTACGATTTTGTGAAAAAATGTTCAATATAGCTGAGAGAACTATTCTAACTTGTTAAAGGAAGCATTAAAGTCACCTTTAGGCAAAGATAAATATTGAGGAAATGAATTTCTATCCATGAGAAAATTGTATCATTCTTGATGTTTTATCAATGTGTGTGTGTTTTTTTACAGGTGTGCAAGTTGAGCCCCATAAGAAGCAGCTCCATGTCACTATGGCGTACCATTTTAACGCCAGTCATCTTCCAGTTCTGGAGAAGTTGGCTAAAAGTATAGAGGTGACCGCAGGCTGTGATTGGCTGGCTGTGCTCCTCTCCAGAGATATTCGCTTTGCTAACCACGAGGTAGCCGTCCCTCCACCAAGCCAGGAGCTCCTCTTATGAAAGTATCTCTCCCAACAACTCTTCTTCTCCTCCTGCAGACGCTTCAAGTCATGTACCCGTATGTGCCTCAGAACGACGACGAGCTGGAGCTGCTGCAGGGAGACTTCATCTTCATGTCTCCAGTGGAACAGAGCACAGCCAGCGAGGGCTGGCTGTTCGGCACTTCGCTGGGCACCGGGTTGTCCGGCCTGCTGCCTGAGAACTATGTGAGCCGTGCCGATGAGTCAGACACATGGGTTGTTCATGGGTAAGGACGGAAAAAAACGCACGTTCCTGACAAGTACACCGGTGAAGACTTGCTGTGAGACTTTCTAAGTAAAACAAATAAATAAAGCTGGGTTTGTTCTTGTGTGATTGGCAGGTCTCACTCCTTTCTCAACTGTGTCTCTCCATCTACCTCTGGTAGCCCCATGGGGGGGCTTTTATTTGATGGACAGCTAAATGACAGTCTGCTTGACAGTCTTATGGATCCTTCCAGCCTCACTGGCCTCCTTCCACCTATGCAGGTACATTTCACTGCAACCGTCTATTGCCTAAATGGCTGCTTTGATAAAGATTACCGTGAACTTTGATGTGAAATTATTTGAAGGAGTTTGAGAACAGGTCTGTTTGAAATAACTTATAATCCCCCTGGATCTTTTTCCACATCACATCCCATTAAAACCACAAAGTTCAGTGTTGGTATTAGGGTTTTATGCAACAGGTCAATTCAAATAAAAAGAAAAGGAAACATTTTCTATCACTGTACTTATGGATGCTATACTTTGCAATATGTATCCAACAGACTGACGTTTTTTCCTGTTTATCTTGCAAAATACTCAACCTGAGCTTGTTTGGATGAAGTACATTTATGAACAGCACTTCTGTCTCATTCAAAGTTTCTTAAATTATTTTATTTGTAGACCACAGCATAATGCTTCCACTGCCATGTTTTGTCACAGGCATTCTGGATAAATCCAGCTGTAAATCTGCACAACTGGATTAAACTGAGATTAATTTATTCAAATCATATATCTTCTGAAGTCAGCTGTTTGCACTGGGATATATACAGAGGAAACAGAGTAAAATAAGGATGAATATAAATCTATACCATATTTTATGGATTTTTAACATACATGATTTTTTCCTGTTTTGCAGTTATTTACTGCTTTTTGTGAGTCTGTCACAAAAATCCCAAATTAATACATTAGCTTATGCATGCAACGTGACAAAAGGTGAAAAAGGGTGAGGAACACATTTGGAAAGCTCGGTAAATGCCTACAACGGTTTCATCTCAGATATCGAGGGCGACCGCTCACTCCTCCTCGCCCAAGATGAGGCTGTTTGTGTGTCGCCATGGCGAGAGGATGGACGTGGTGTTCGGCAAACACTGGGTGACCCAGTGTTTTGATTCCAAAGGTGGGGGATGCAGAGTTGTGATGCGATCTTTAAAATGCCAGTGCTTCCCTCTCTTCTAAGACTCATCTATGCTGAACAGGTGGATACATTCGTTCCAATCTGAACATGCCGTGCAGCCTCCCAAGCAGGAGTGGAGGTCATCGGGACTATGAAAAAGACTGTCCGATCACTGTGTTTGGCTCCACACAGGCCCGTCTAGTAGGTCTGTGTGTGTGTTATTTGCAAGTTATTCACAAATGCATGGTTAGAATTTATTCTGAATGACTGTGTGTTTTGGCCCGTCTCAGGTGAAGCCCTGTTGGAAAGCCACACAACAATAGACTTTGTTTACTGCTCTCCTTCTCTCCGCTGCATCCAGACTGCTCAGCACATCCTCCAAGGTAGGAGCTCATCCTCCTTCAACTCATCAGTAGACTGGCCACAGGCTGGCGTCAAACATCATCTGAACATGCACTTTGGATGATATTCTTTATTTGTATTTATAAATGTTACTGTCTGGTGGTGAAGGAGTTTTAGTGTTGGGTCGAAAGCCTTTTTTCCAGGCTCTTATATCAAACAAGTTAGACTGGAGAATGTCTTCAGTATGTTACAACACTGCTTGGTGCCAAGAGACTCAGTAGGAGTTAAAATATGAGCTTTTATCAACTTGTTCAATCATTAGAGCCTTTTAGTGTCTTTTCTTCATGAAAAAAATCACGTATTTTGTCTAAATAACCTATCTGCTTCTCAGCTACATTCTCTGTTTTAATCTGTTTTAGGTCTCCAGCTGGAGGCCAAGACAAAAATCCGCGTGGAGCCCGGTTTATTTGAATGGACCAAATGGGTTTCTGGCACCAGCCTCCCGGCTTGGATCCCACCATCTGACCTAGTGGCCGCAAACCTGAGTGTGGACACAACATACAAGTACAAAGCAAAACAACTGTTGGATCATTTCAAATGTTATGTTGTGGTATAGTTAAATCTTCATGAACTTTGATTTATTTATTTTTTATTGGTTTTCGTGCTGCAGACCTCATTATCCTGTAAGCAAACTGACCGTGGCGGAGTCCTACGATACCTACATCAGCAGGAGCTTCCAAGTGACCAGAGAGATTCTGACAGAGTGCAAAAGTCTGGGTAAACTTTTTAAACCTTTTCACATTTTATTTTTGGAGAGGTTTTGTCTCATGCACCAACATAATGTAATGCATAAATGTTAGAAGAAAAGTCAATCGCACATGGTTGGCAACATGTTTTATAAGTAAAAATAACAGTGGCATGCATTTGTATTCAGGCTCCTTTCATCTATTGTTCTTAAATTCTTGGGCCTGGGTGCTGGTCAGAGTTGATAGGAAGATGGATGGAGTTGCAGACAGAGCCATCATGAAGGAAAACTAGTTAGAGGCTGCAAGAGGATGTGCGGAGGTTTAGCTTTCTGTAGATCACAGATGTTTTATTTCAACATCTTGTTTGTGACAACCTTCTTAGCATGTCAGTGTTCTGCAGAGGAATGCTCAGGAGTCGTCATTTGAACCAGGGAGACAATTAAAACATGCAGGACCGATTTCGGAAACGATGAACCCAAACATGCAGTTAGCGCTATTTTACTAGGTCAAAACATGGTGATTTATTTTAAAATGTCCCTGTTAAAGTCCAGACCTAAGTTTAATTGAAAGACTTGAAATTAATGTTTTTTTGCAGTGATTTTTTTTTTGTGCAAAACTTTATACAATTATCCAGCTGTATCTGAGAAATTACTGCTGAAAAAAACAAATTTTTTTCTGTACGACAAAACTTGATATAGCCCAGTGGGGTTACCAGTTACAATATATCTATATGTATTTTTTTTTTTACCTCTGTTACACAGGAAGCACAGTCCTGATTGTGGCCCATGCTTCCTCCCTGGAGGCCTGCACTCGCCAAATACAGGGCCTCAGTCCCCAAAACTCAAAGGACTTTGTCCAAGTTGTCCGAAAGGTCAGTTCTGATTAATCTCATGTTGCTCTCATCCCCTTACTGTACCCTCCTCTAGTTCCTTGCCTGTTCTTCATTCGTAGCATGCACATCTGTCTTCTCCTGCTTGCAGATTCCCTACTTGGGTTTTTGTGCTTGTGAAGAATTGGGAGAGACAGGCGTGTGGCAGCTGGTCGACCCACCCATCTTGCCTCTGACACATGGACCCAATCACAGTTTCAACTGGAGGGAAATGCTAATGCAAGACTGAAGGATATGCTGTTAGACTCCCTACATTTTGTCAGCTTAAACTGCTGAAACATTATTTATTTTTTTTCCTTTTACAATTCTAGAATTCCACCCAAACTACCAAAAGGACAAAGAGAAACACAGAGTGGCTTCCAATGAAAGACATTATGCAAAAAAAAAAAAAAAAAAAAAAAAATATATATATATATATATATATATATATATATATATATATAAATATAATTGCAGCTATTGTACTTAGATGTGACTCTCAGGAAAGAGAAAACCCCAGTATGTGCTGAGATCACAGCAAAAGCAAGCTTCAGGTTGGATGGCATTTTCTGCCTGTCTCTCTATATGGCACTTATTTACTGAGAGTGCAGAGGTGCTACAGAAGAAAATTGGACGCTTCCTGAGCGATGCGATGTAACAAGATTTTTATCCGGGGCTCTGTCTCTGTCTGCGGCCCCTCCTCCAGCAGAGGGGGAAGTGGGTGGTGAAGACTTTGTACTCTGCTGCCTTTTCACACACTGTGACACACATTAGTTGAGACACACTTGTTCCACCAAAATATTTTTTCCACTTGTCAGAAGCTATTATTTAACTTGTAGCGACATTCCCATTGTATAGAAGAAGCACAGAAGAAAAGGTTGACAATCAGACAGGGAAGCACCGGTCTTAATTCTTTTTGGTTGTTGATGTCAACTTTAAAAAATTTCTATTATTTCTGTTCTGGTCCTGTAAATTTCATATAATTTCCTTATGGTAAAAATTCTCTATGGGAATTTTTCGTCTGAACCCTCTAGTAAAGCCACTGGCCACTCATCAGTTGAAGTGAGAAATGAAAACCTTAATATTAATTTTCAGGATTAACTGTATTGCTACTGATATACAGGTGCCTCTACTAAAGTTATTACTTCTTATGTCATGACCATACCCGAAACTCTGTTAACCTCATAGAAACTTTGCTTTTCAACCTCTTGGTGATTTTTTTTTTTTCGTTACATAAAATAATTTTAGTACTCATTGCTTAATGCATCTTTTGCTGTATGATTTGAAGTCTGTCATACTCTATAAATTAATAAAAGACAGTTTTGGAGCTGTTATGATCTGTATATTTGTGTTCTGCAAGAACAAACTCTCTTTGTTGAGTTGGTAGAAGAGTTTGAACTCACTCACCTTTCCATCCCAGGAAAGGCATGGCGGTGGCAGCATTATCCTGTGGAAATGGTTGTCTCCATCAATGACAGATAAAGTGGGCAGAGTTGATGGCCGATGGATGGAACCAAATACAGGACAAGTGTGCAAGAAACTTAGTTGGCAAAAAGATTGGACCCATACCAAGGTTCACCTTCACCATGGCTTGCAGGTGTACTTTCAATAAACAGTGTTGCTAAAAAAAAAAAAAAAAAAAATCAATCAGAGGGACTGAATCCAGGTACAATTTTTCAGTCTTCTGTTGGGGAAAAAAAACAACCAAACCAAAAATAAAATAAATAAAAATAAAATCACAAACAGGCTGTAAGCACCTTCACCTTCTGTCCATCTTTTTTCTTAAAATCTCAACAAAATATATTAATGTTTTGTTACAAATTTACAAAATACATTTGCATGGAGCTGTATTGTGTTATATATTAAAAGTATATTTTTCCAGTAAATTCCGCTGAGCCATAAAACAGAACCGTGTCAATAATTAATTAGATTGAATACACCTGTGAAATGTATCCTCCAGTATCTGTTATCGGCAGCCATAACGTTCTCATAAAATTATATTAAAAAATAGTTCTTAACTTTAAAAATAGTTATTATCTGGCGGGCTAAAATGTGCTAAAACATCCACATTTGTCCCTCGGCTCCCAACATGACATCTACGAGCTAAGGTAGGCTAAGCTAGCTATTGTCTTTCATCTGTTGATTATGTTTTCAGTTTAATGCTGCTTTGACGTTTTTAAACACTTAGAAATATTTTCCGTACAAAGCCAAAGTGTAATTTAAACCTCAGGTCGAAGTAGACAATATTTGAAGTGCCTTTCACTTCAATGTTCCGCAAATGAAGTTAGCTAGTTAGCCGTAGACGTTGGAATTTTTAACATCTGCTGTTAACATGTTTATACTAATTTATGTTTCTAAGAATAACATTGAGAGCTTCACTAAGGTTGTTTTTCTCTATGGGAATGTTTTGTAGTATTTATTTTTAACCTTTTATTTGCTATAAAAAATGTAGTTCAGCTTGCGTGTACTGAAGGTGCATCAGTGAAAACTGCATTGGGTTTTGTCAATAACGCCAGGACAGCAGTACCAAGGTAAACCCTTCAGACTGAGTGAGAAGGAATCAAGGTTTGTAATTGCAGTCTAAGTCTAAACCTCTACCAGACTGAATTACTGTTGCGTGAGACAGATGTGCATTTTAAAAAAAGAAATGCAACCAACCTCAATGGACCAAAACCAGCCACATGTTGACTAGTCTAAAACTCCCAGTGAATGTACAGTTCAAACCAGTGAGTGCTACTTTAATCTACAATCATAAAGTGAAATGAGTTACTTCATATATATGTTTATGTTTATTTGCTTTTATTTATCCTTAGTTGATCTTCAGCTCAGATGAGATACTTTTTTATACCTTGTATGAATCATTTTTACAATGTGTTTTTCAAAATTACAATATTCATTTGATTTCACTTCAAAATATTTGTAATCAATTTTATTCTTTACCATATTTGTGTCAAATTTGCAGACTATTACAATAGGCAGTGTGTACTTCTAAGATGAAAGAAAACACTAGATGGTGCTGTGGACCAGTGACAGTAGATATCATGTTTAGCTATAAACTGGCACATCTGAATCATGAGTCAAAAGTAAAGCTTATTTATGTCTTGTGTCATAAACATTCGTTTTTAATTAATTCTTTGAGTCCGTCTGTAAAAACCTGTTTGTGCGTTTAACGCTTGTTTTAACGTTTTGATAAGACTTTGGCGCAATGTCTGGTCATTGCACCAAATATTTATTGCAATGATTGATTACTACTGATTAAAGTTTGATGTAGTTTTAAATCACATAAAATATTTATTATTCCTCCAACCTTAAGGAAGACTGATAAACAGAAAAAAATTTTTTAGACTTAGTTGTAGCACTTGGCACATAGAGAGCTTTTGTTTTTCCCCTCTATTTATTAATAATTTTGTTAATACTTCAAATATAAAGATTTCAGCATCCACATTTTTTAGCTTCAGAAAAAGTCTCAAAGTGAATATTACATTTCATTTACTACTGTTTGAAACATCTTTAAATTGTTTTGCAATCATGGTTCTTGTTTTTGCTGAGTAATAACTCACTTGCAAGTAATGAATTAAACTGGCGGCCATCAACTCTTCACCTCAATGTAATTATAAAGATTCAGCTTGTTGATGTGACGGTTTCATAAAAAGAGGTCATTCTTGACCTTTCATTGCACCAAATATGACGTAAACATTTAACATTTACATTTTCAAAGTAAGAACATAAACTGACTTAAACAACTGGAGACATACTGGAATCTGAAAATTATCCTCTGAATCCCTCTGGTCTGTTTTTAGAAGATGAAATACTAATTAGAAAAAAAAATGTAAAGACATCAAAACTGAAAACTCACTTATATTTTTATGCATAAACAAACCACATGTTTTTTGATACAATTTGTTTTGTGTTTCTAAAAATTAGATAAAGGTTAGTACATTCTTTGTTGACTTCTGATACCATTATTTTTTTATCACTACTTCTTTAAATCTTCCCTTTGTGTTGAATGTTCTTAACATTTTATTGTAGAATTAAAACTAAATGTAAACAAATATCTGGTTGGTGATACAGTCCTTAGAAAGAACATCTTAAATTGCTTGATTTTTACAGAAAAAATGGGCAAGATCCGGCTGCATCTTTTTCAGAAAGTGAAGTATCTCTGGGATTTTTTTAAACTAAATTAAGAAGTTATTTTATAAATTAGAGGTTATATAGCCGCAGTAGACTGTCAATTAAAACTGAACAGTACCAATGTTTTGTTTTAGTGTGTTTGGTCATAATATTATCCAAGAAATAATTAGAAATAAAGCTTAGTAATCCTTTCTGGCTAAAATCTGGCTTTTCCATTAGTCTTTAGTTGAGTAAAACAAAAATTAAAATTTTATATGGACAACAGCAAGTTTAGTTCAGATGGCTTAATATTAGAAGTATTACTGTGCGGAAGGTGACTCTGAGATAATATGACCCTTGTGCCTACTTTGAACATTTATTTGTCCTGTTGTTCAATTTTTTTGACTGAATTTAAAAGAAGGTTAATGTTTGTGTACAAAGTTATAGAATCTACTCATTTAGCCGGACTTTCTTTTATTAGTTTTATCACTTGGCATGATTAAACTGATTTACTGTATAAAATAATGAAATTGCACTGTATTGTATTTTTGTGATAAAAGTAAATTGGTCTGAACTGGATATTTGACTGGTTTACAAACTAGCTTGAGATTACTTGTGTTTTAATTTGGTTCTACATAAATAAACGGGATGGAAGTAAAACATTGGTATGAGTGAAATATTTTGGATTTAGTGCCAAGTATGGATAAACCCATGTGAGGAGAATAAATCAAGACGGGATGTTGATTTTTATAATCAACACTTTTAGCTGACTGTTCTGAAAAGTTTCACAAAATACATTGTCACGTTTTTGTTTTTATATTTACAGCGTTTGTAATTAAAATGTTCTCTGAGCTTCTCAATGTTAGGAGTAGCAGCTATCACGAGTTATTGACATCTCTGCCAATTGTGAACAGACTCCAGTTTGCCAATTACTACTACTCAAGCACAAAGCCAGAAACACCATCTTTTAGTTTTAAATGGATGAAACTGTACTCATAGTGATTGCTGAGGAGCTCTTCAGATTGCGTTAGGCTTTCTCTCTAAATGTAGGAGTAACTTTCAATATTGCAAAATACTTCTGCTTTGACTTACTCGAACATAAGTCAGTTGTCTAGATTTATTCATGTAAGAGCTGTCAGGGCCTGTTTGAGGCCCACATTAGCCTAAGGAGGACTTTGATTTGTGCTTTCAAAAACCTTCCTGTTGATTTTACTCTATCTTCAAATGTCATCAATATATAAGCAGTCTGAGTTTTGGTGGGAGTTTTTGCTTTTGGACAGTTATTGTT